GCATCAACAAGAGCCGAGCCTCCGAATTTAAAGAGAGCTGGAGGCTGATCATCTGGTCCCGCGGCTTTGTTCAACTTCAACAGTCCGATCTCACGTTCGACTTCTGAGCGAGAGGGTGGATCCAAAAGGACAGCCCAGGGAGTGGGGCGATCAGTGGCCAGCGAGAAATCTAACAATTCCTACCGATTAAATTGCTTTTCAAAGTGCTCAGCCCAACGCTCCGAGCGTTTTGACAAATTGTGGATAGGCTGTCCACTCTCATCACAAATTGTTTCACTAACACCAGGTCTCCTGCTGCCCGTTTCCCGTAGCAGACGGAATAACTTACAATGGTTGCCAAGGGCAGCGGCCACTTCCATCTCTGATGCACGATGAGACCACCAAGATTCGCGGTCTCTCTTCAGGTTAGCACGGACTCTTGCCCGGAGCTCTTTGCGAGTTTCATTGTGTTCCCTTCCAGCCGGGATATGCCGGCGAGGGTCGATAAGTTCCAGAGACCGAGAAGAGACCCAATGTCCATGTTGGCTATTAGACATACCACATGAGGATTTGCTTGCTGCTAGTAAGGTCTGGCGAACATGTGACCAGTGACCATCAATTGTCTCCAGTGAGCGATTACTCAATTCGCATGTCAGCGCACTTCGATACGCATTCAGAACAGCTGGCTTTGTCAGTTGGTTGGTGTCAATGCGCTGACATCGTCGTCGTGAGTGTCCGCCAAAACGTATCCGCATGTCAGCACATACAAGTGCATGATCGGTGTCCACACATGTGCTCCAAATCGAGCGACAATTCTGGATGCAGCCTCTCCAGCGGTAACTTATCGCAATGTGATCGATCTGCGTCCAAGGCTGGTTCGAGGCTGGTGGGCGCCAAGTCACCCTCCGGCGGGTGTTGTGTCGGAAGTTAGTGCTCGTAAGAAATAAGCGAGCATCTTCACACAAATGAAGTAACCGATCACCGTTATCATTACGGGAGTTTACACCGGTTGACCGCCCAGATGCAGTTCATCAGTGGACAAGTTTCCAACTTGTGCGTTCAGATCCGCCGCCAGCAGAACAGTGTCCGTGCTTCTTCTGTGGCGAAGGAGCTGGGTCATTTGGCGGTAGAAGTCGTTCTTTACCGAATCATCGCTACAGTTTGTGGGCGCATAGGCAGCGATGATGAATAGACATCTATTAGTCCTGCGCGACTTCGAAGCTTTAAACGAGCCAGCCAATTGGACCGCATACATCCGGCTACTGATTGAAACCCAATCAACCAGAGCAGCTTCAGCCCGGGGACTCAGGGCAATGCCAACACCAGCTTGGCCGGTGCTCGAAGTTGCATCGTCACCGGATAGGCGCACTGAGAAAATACTGTTTGCGTCACCTGAAGGAGATCGCAGAGTGAGCACATTGCTCGAGTCTTGCAGGCGAGTCTCCAATAAGCAGCAGCTATCGATCGAGGTCTCCATTGTTCGGGCAAGTGCTGCCTGTTGACCGATTTGTAGCAATCTGCGTACATTGAGGCATGCCAATCAGAAGGAGGATCGAGGGCTCCAAATGGAAGCCGATGAACTGGAATGGACCGCTTGGTTGGACATAGGCTTGTCGACAGGAGAGGAGTGACGCTGCGCGTTCACATGTGAGTTGAAATTATAAGGTAAGGGCCTAGCAAAGCATGTTGGAGGAGGGCCAAGAATCGGGGGGTTGAAAACTGGTGGGATATAAGTGAAGTTGGAAGGGGACGGTAAGAGTGAAAAAGCGTAATAGGGGGAATAAGAAGACGGGAAGGCTTGAGCAGTAGCATCCAAACCCTTATCCACCCTGCTCGATGCGGTGGCCAGAGCATCAAGAAATTGTTTGAAGTAAGATTCATAGTATTGCGTGGGCAGGATACTATCAGGTTGCCCAGGCTTAGACAGGAGAACGATTAGGGTTCTCAACCAAAGCCTTTGGTTCAAAAACCTGACCGCAGGGCAGCGGATTTGGCAGTGGGTTACAAGGAGTCCGTTTTAAGGAATAAGGTGCAACCGTCATTCCAACCCCAACCTGGAGGACCAGGAGGCTGAGTTTGGTCTGGCCTCTAACCATTGACCAATCTGGTATGAGTGACTGAAGGTGCAAAAGCACCACCCAGCATAGCTCAATGGATCACTGAGGCACACAAACCATCGCACCACGGTAAGGTCCAGCCTCATTGCGATGGTTCTTGAGCAACCAGTACGAAGTCGAAAGTGCCGGTGTCGCATACTGGACAAGAAACATCCTAATCGTTGGTGCACCGTTATTGTTGAACAAACTGTGTTTGGCTCTGTGTACTTGCATGGTAGTCGGAATTTGGAATCGAACAAGCCCTTTCAGAATCTCGTAGAATTTTTCGTCCAGAAATAATTTTACATGCTATATTGGTATGTTATATTACAATATTAGTGCAGTTCTTGTTTTACTTTTTAATTTTTTGGGAGTCCTTTGGCAGTCCGACTCGGGCTATCGCTGAACGCCTGACTGTCCGGCATTGCTTATAGGGTACTAATGACCTGGCGATCCGCTTCGCACCCCCCGACTGCCTGTTTCTGTCAGACGAAATAACATTACCACTGCCTCGTAATCTTCGTATCCTCCCAGCAGAACTACCGAACCTTACTATTAATGCAAGGAAAGACATTTTAATTAGACGCCAGCCCGCCTTCACTTGGGCGGATGATGATTTACTGAGATATAACTTTACACGGCACCGCATTGAAACTGGCGACGCACAACCAATCTGGCAATCACCACGACGTGTACCGCTCCAAGTTCCGTAAGAATTGAAACATATCATAGAGAATATGCTTAAGCGTGACATTATTAGACCTTCAAAATCTCCCTTTGCCTTTCCCATTGTCCTGGTCGAAAAGGAAAGCGACGAACTACGGTTCTCTGTCGATTATCGCAGGCTAAACGCGGTTACGCGGTAATATTTATTCCCGCTACCAAGGATGGATGATACCAAAGACGCGCTTACTGGGTCCCGCTGGTTTACAACATTGGACTTATCCTTTGGCTATTGGCAGATTGAGCTCCACTCGGTCAACATGTTCAAGTCGACATTTACGGTTCCATCCTGCCTTTATGAATTCCAAACCATGCTCTTCGGCTTGCTAAACGCGCCTACCACTTTTCGGCGGTTGATGCATACAGTGTTGGCAGACTTGACACCGAACCTTGTTGATATCATAATGCACGGAAAAACGATGAGGGATCACAATCCAAGTCCCATTGTCGTTCTGGACTGGTTAGTACAACTAGGGTTAACATTGTAACCTACTAAATATCAGTTCCTCAAGAAGTAGGTGATCTACTTGGGTCATGCCTTGTCTGCGGACGGGGTACGCTGCGACCATTCAAAGGTCGAGCAAGTGTGTTCGTGGCAAGTGCTCGCAAATGTGTTCAAATTGCGCAGTTTTCTTGGCCTCACTTCTTATTATGGACGTTTTGTACGAGGATTTGCGACCGCTGCGCCCTTGGCGGTTCTCTTGAAGGCCAGAAAAACTTGTTTGGAGGAAACCCAGCAAACCGCTTCCGAGAAACTTAGAACCGCGTTGTGCGAAGCACCAGAGTTGATATTTCCGGTTACACAATCAGCTGCGGGCCCATTCATCCTGATGCGTGCGACATGAGTATCGCAACGCACAGCAGCATTGAGCTTGTTATCGCTTACGCAAGTCGGTGTTCGCAACCTGAACGCAAGTATTGCACAACGCGAAAAAAACATTTGTATTAGTCTTCATTATCAAACAATTTAGACGCCATCTGCCTGGCCGCAAATTCATCATGCGCATTGACCATCAGTCATTGATTTGGCTCCAAAACTTTGGCGATCCCGAAGGTCAAATTGCTTGTTGACAGGAGCAACTGCAAGAGTACCAAATTGAATGCCAACATCGCCCAGGTCCGCAACAGGCTAATGCTGATGCTCTGTCTCGCAGACCAATCCAAGACCATGAACCATGTCCCTCTCACACAGCGCATTGTGTAACTTCTGTTATCCTCGATACCTCTGAAATCGCAAAATGGACTCAGTTGCAGCCTACCGACTCAGAGTTAAGTCCGTTCTACTGACTAGCCACGAACTCGCGGACGCTAATTAGGAGATGAAATGCCTTTTATCCGTATGGCCACATTCGCGCATGATCGACGGTATAGTGTATTTTCAGAATGGGCCAGCCTACCTACACTGAGTTATTGTTCTCACAACGTCAACTCAAGCAGTTATGCACCCATTGCACGAGGAGTTGGGGCATGCAAGACAGAACAAGTTGAAATAAGCACTTCGTCGCCGATTTGTGAAACACAAACCACACAAGGAAAGTGCTATTCCATTCATTCATACACGAGAAAACAACAAGAGAGTGAAACACTAATCTACCGAAATGCCTATTAGCTTTTGGAGCAAGTAATATCTGATCTAACTTGTGTGATTAAAGATCCAGAGCTCCGTCGGTCAGCCCATGGTTGTACACTTCATTAGGCTTAAACCATTTCAAAACGAGACTGACAATTTAGCTGGGGAGCCACATACTTAACCACCAACAGAAGTAGCGGTAGAAATGAAAGTGCGGGTTCAAGCGAGCTATGGTATGCCAACGGGGCTTTTCCTACATTTGGGGATGCGGTGTAACGAACGATAGAAACCATTTTTGGCGCGCAGTCGAATTTGAATCGTTGCTTTGACGACACCTTTCTTGTCTGCCTTTCAGATCGCCATTCCTGTGCAACTACTGAAAGGACAACAATCTGAAGAGAACGGTTAACTAGCCTACGTGTTGTATAATAAACGTTCCATCCCAAACCTTGGAGTTCTCCCTTGCTTGCACTTTATACGTGCTCCTGCACTTAATGTCTATCACCTACTCGGCCACTTTTCGCTCTCAGCTTGCCACCAGGCTCTCGATTCGTTGTTTCTCGATATTAGTTCTTACTATGTGGTTGGGGTTTGACTCCCAACCGCCTACGCTCTCTTTACTTTCGACTTCAGGCCTTCCGGTCTATTACGACCTACATCTAAGGACGGATACGGAAGCACCTATCACTCCGAACCGGACGGATGTTGAAACTCTGAAGCGTTAAGACTGATTCAGCCAGCCACTCTATGTTACAATTCCGTTGGTCTCTCCGATGCTGTTTGATTATTCCAGGTTTGTCACGTAAATCTTTTTATCAGTTGGAGGTGATTACCGAAATTGGTACATTAGACATAATGTTCTAAATGATGAGATTGCGGTTTCTGATCATTCGTCAGAAGACCACGTTAGTGAAGTACCTGATAAATTCATGACGTCCACATGGTCATGGTCTTTTGGAGGGTACTGACAACAACGTTACCGAGCTCTTGGTAAACGCACTGGGATGGGCAACTGTTTGTCCGGATTTAAATCGGCGTGTTGAAACCGAGAGTATTTGTTGCCGTTTAGATCCATACCGAATGCTACCTGAAGAATCTGAATTGTATACTACAACTCACAACAATAGTGTTTGCCAATAGAGATGGCCCTGAGTATGGGAAAGCCCTTGTTAAATTTTTTGTCCGAATGAAGTCAGTGTGTGGGAAACAGGCTTTAAATTCGGTGACTAAGAATAAGAAGGTTGCACAGGTTGGAAAACCGTGCTCAACGTTGTTTATCATATCGCTTTGTCATTATCGTAACATTATGCCTGATCAATCTTGAAGAGCTTGTTGTGACCTATACATTCCCTTGTTTGACTATATAAATTATTCTAAAATACTATACAATTATAGTTTTCTTATGTATTGGGAAATTAAGCGGTTTGCTTGTTTGAATGTTGCTCCCGTTTGTTTGAGTCACAAGCAAGACGCTCACATCCGTTCTGCGACCAAAACAGACACGACCTGTGACTTTTGCCCGTCCTCGCAGTCAGCACCCGTTTGCATCTTCCCTAACTAGCTCTCTGGTGCCTTATTTTTAGATTTAGCTACCTTTGCGACCTCAATAAATTTTTTCTACTTTATCTTCGTGTTTTCTTTCGCTCGTTTTTGATTGGCCGTGAATCTGATATATAACGCACGACCGACCGGTATAAGTCTGCAACCAGTAGCAATTGGGATTATGTATGTATATATACTATCAGCTGTCAATACTATTGACATCGAGTCCTCGAAAACCGTGGGATAAATGTGCATACTAAGTACAAAGACCACAAAATGGAGAATATGTAATGAAAAGCTATTTTGGTATTTTCACACGTCGTTTTGTCTTTTTGTCAGTTTAGTAACTACGGCTTTGATCAGTATAATCAATGCATAGGCTTACGCAAGCCTTCCATCGTACCTTATTCTCAAACCAGCGATGTTCTTCACCTCGCACTCCCTAGCCCGGATGACGTACGACGCTGACAATAGCTGAAATAGAAATCAGCACTTTGACGTTTCTCCGCCATATGATAGATTGACCAGCGCGCAGTTTCTTCCATTGCGGCCCTGCGTGGGCTAATAGAGCGCGCTGTAGTAACCCTTCACACGGTATGTGTAGGATGTGAGCTAGCCACCTCAGTTGGCGCAGCAATATTAATTTATCGATAGGAATGCCTGTGTTACCCAGGACGCGACGTCGAACGTTCCTGTTGCAGACATCACACACGAGCTATCCACCGCACAAGGGATTTCTCTTGCAACTCGGCAACTGCCGCCGATCAACATACTTCGTTTCTTATGACCTGAAACCAAGCGTAGAACGTGAAAGGCTCACTTTGATCATGTCCTGGTAACGCGACTTTGGTTTACCTACAGGCCGCTTCCCCACATTCAGCTGGCCATATAATAGCTCCTTCAGTATCCGCGTCGAATGCATAAGGCGCACATGACTGAGCCACCTCAGGTGTCTCAGCAAGAGTATGCAGTCCACTGTATACATTCCACTTCGACGTTACACTTCCGTGTCCGCAACTCTGTCGCACCATCCGATGCGCAGAATCCGTCGCGAACAATGCTGATGGAACCGCTCGAGATATCGCACATCCCGCCGGTACATCGTCCACGTTTCACTGCCGTATAGAAGAACGGACAGCACCATGGATTTGTAAACCATCAGCTTCGTGTCAATGGTAAGCTAATGGTTGTTCCACACTCGGTACTCTAGCTTCCCGAATACCGCCGCTGCCTCCGAGGGGTGGATACGAAGCTCACTGTGTAGCTGCTGATCAGTCGACATCACACTCCCAAAGTAGCAGAAGCGGGAGGTGGTTTCCAATCCTTCAGCACCAATGCTGCTTTGCAGCAATATTGCACCGTTGGTGAAAGCTGAAAGAGACAGACAGTTTTGCTTGTAAAACATTTGGTCCCCTTCAGCCACTTGATCAAAGCAGAAAGAAGGCACAGATTGTGATATGTTAACATTTCGATTGTTCTCGTCAGTCGCATACACAATACAAGCAGAAACACATACACAATTATATACATGGCAAAAAATTGGCAAACCAATCAAAACGTCAAAATCAAGTCCAAGGCAATCGGATTGATTGCCTCAACAGTTTCTGTGCACATAGCACTGGTTGATAAGCCCTGATTAGCAACGCTTCACTGATTGCCAACATTATCGGATTCCGGTTACGTAATAGCACTTTGAACGCAGTCTTGGGGTCCACATTGTGACCTTTTTTCACGAGGTGCTTAGTGATAGATGATGACAGATTCCGGTTCATTCTGGGAGGCGCTCCATTTTGTTGCGTCATCATTTGCTCTACCCACTTTGGCAAATGTTCAGCCACCCTCTGAGCCAACCGACGGTTAGTCCTGCCTATGTAAACGTCACTGCAACTGCAGGTGAACTGATAGACCACATGCGAGGGCGAACTAGCCGAAGGGTAGCTCTGACGGTCAGGAAGAACAAGTTTTCGAGTCGTGTGCATGAGACGCAACTGTGCAGTCGTGTACGTGCGCGTTAGAGCGGACCTGAGCTTGTGTCCGATGTCGTTTGCCACCTAGTCTCCCTTGAAGGGCAGGAACAGATAAACAGCCTTTTTCTCTGCCGTTAGCACCGGCAGTTTCTTTTTGGGGAGTCTGCTATGCACTTGGATGAACTTTTCAGGATAACCATTTGCCACCAAGGTCCTATGCAGAAACTTCTCTTCGGCTTCCAGTGTATCCGGACTGCAAATACGTCTGGCCCTGTTGAACAGCGTTTTCACTAGGCCGCGTTTGTATGCAACCGGGGCAAAACTGGAAAAGTGAAGGTACTGCCCACTCCAGGTTGCCTTGCGGTAAACGGTGCGCTGCAATGTACCTCCGTCCCGCCTCTTAATGAGGATATCCAAAAATGCCAGGGAGCCGTGTTGCTCCATCTCATGGGAGACTGATATGTTGGGGTGACTTGAATTTAAAGTGGTTAACAGGCGAGTAAAATGTTCGCTGTTGGTGAACACCAGAATGTCATCCACATACCTTTTGTATAACCTTGCTTCATCAATACTGGCAGCGACTTGCCTTTCGATTAAGCCGAGAAAGATATCTGCCAAGACCGGTCCCAGAGGGCTACCCATGGCGACTCCGTCGATTTGCTTGTATGCTCTCCCCTCAAACACAAAACGTACATTCTCTGTACACAGTAAAATCATATCCCGCAAATATTCCACAGGGAGACCCACATACATGTTTTGACTCAGGATGAAATGACACAATTCATCAACTGTTTCTTGAAGTGGCACGTTTGTGAATAGAGAATCCACGTCAATAGAGTACATTACTTCCGAACCCAGTGAGAATTGTTCTAGCGTCTCCGCTAGTTCAAATGAATCTTTCAGGCAGTGCGTAGCCAAGAGTTTACGCACAGGATCTAAGAGTTTCGCCAGCCACCGGGCAACGTTGTGATAAGGCGAGTTGTTCATGCACATAATGGGACGCAGTGGGTTGTCTGGCTTGTGTATCTTAGGCGCGCCCCTCATTCTTGGTGTCTGCGTCCCAGTCGGTTTAATCTGTCTGTAATGTGACTCAGTGATGTATCCGTGTAGCAAAAGGATCTGGAGTTTTCTGGCCACCTGCTTCTCCACCAAGATGTTATTCTCCGGTGTCGTATCTATCAGGAACTTACGTCTATCCTCCAAAATAGACTCCATTTTCGAAACGTAGTCATCCCTGTTCAATACTACAATACCTGATCCTTTGTCTGGCTGCAGGAAGATTACGTTTGCCATTTCTTTTAACTCTCTGATCGCGGCATAGTGTTCAGCATTAAGGCAACATCTCTGGATTATTGGCGTATTAAGGAATTGGTTCGCGATATCCACCAATTTTTCTCGAAACCAGCCCCCATCTTCTATAGATCTTGGCGAGAGATCCCTGAGCTGGTCATACAGATATTCAAACTGAGCCTGCGTGATGAGCCTTTCTATCGTCTTCGGTGGCAACCGATATTCCATTCCAAGGGAAAGCACTTCCAACTGCGATAATGTTGGCAATCAGTGAAGCGTTGCTAATCAGGACTTATCAACCAGTGCTACGTGCACAGAAACTGTTGAAGCAATCAATCCGATTGCCTTGGACTTGATTTTGACGTTTTGATTGGTTTGCCAATTTTGTGCCATGTATATAATTGTGTATGTGTTTCTGCTTGTATTGTGTATGCGACTGACGAGAACAATAGAAATGTTAACATATCGCAATCTGTGCCTTTTTTCTGCTTTGATCAAGTTTTGCTTGTGTTGATAGTGAGCCCGAATTTGGCCGCTGTTTAAGCAAGCGCACGTTATATGTTGCATCTCATCCGCGCTGTTTTCAAACAACGCACAGTCGTCAGCAAACAGCAACCTACGGATAGTTGTCATAGACTTGGTTCTCGCACCGAAAGGACGGATGTTCAACAACCTACCATCAATACAGTAGTCCACACGAAAACCGTAAGCAAAAGCCGCAACAAAACCACAAGATTTAATTCTATGAAGATATATAGTAAACAGGACAGAAGTTAAGACACAGCCATGCTTCACACCAGAGAGAACTACAAAGTCATCCACGGTCTGTCCAATCAGCTGCACCTTCGCCCGCATACCACTGTGTCGACATCCAATTAAACCTACATATTTACTTGGACAACCAAACTTACCCAACAGCAGCCACAATGCCTCGCAGTTCACCCTATCAAATGCATTAAGGCAGAGAGAAGACAGAGGTTGCGATATGTCAACA